AAGGAAATAGCAATGCGAACAGGAATATACCAAGTTGCCACATCTCATAGAAGACCAGATATAATTGAGCCGAAATTAAAAGCAGAAATAGAGCAAAATGCACACTGAGTAGGAACAAACAGAACACCGAAGTCTCATGATAATAAAAGCCCTCCCAATTCCGCCAAACATCAATGCAACAACAATGTAGTCTCCCTCCAGGTGTCCTGAACGCCAACACCACCCCCTAGAGCTCCTATCAATCTAGCCTACTTGTGTTGACAACCAGTGCACATAGATATAGTCCGATGCCATTAGCAATGACGCGCCCATCCGGACGATTTGATCTGTGTCCATGTAGCCATATATGTTAGGGGGCAGCATTGATCTCCGAGAGCGAAATTGGTGTATATGACAAAGGTAACAGTTTGGGGGCGTGAAAGTCAGCGTATGTGCGCAATTGAGGGTGAACAGCAATGACATGTGTTGGGCCATCTGGACCATATGTCCAGGATTTGCCATGGTCCAAAGTATCGTGGCCCAGCTTTCTAGAGACGTTCTGTTCCAGTGTAAACTCATAAGACTTAACCCAAGCTCTTTCCGCTATCTGAAACTTGGAAGGCCATCTATGTGCAATAAATCGCAGTTTCCCAGTGGGGCTGTACGCTAACTGTTTGGATTTGTAGTTTGTTTTCTTGTTTTGAGTCTTGTGGGACTTGATCCCGTGACCTGTAATTTGTATGTGTTTTGTTTGTTAGTCTTGAGTCCTATGGGACTTTATCCCTGAGTTTGTCACTAGCAGTCTCTTTTTGGTAGCCTTAGGCCATTCAGCCTTTCCTTTTGCCTTGTCATAGGTCTAGGTCCCCTTTTCCCCCTGTTTCCGTCTAGATGCAGATGAGTATTGGGTTGTTTCCTTAGGAGTCCGTCATAGAGGGTAGAAGTAACGGGCAGGAAATTTGGTTTGGGGTCTTTTCACGTTTTCGTTGGCCGGGGGAAACTCTGCCCATTTGTTGTTGGAGCGCTGCTGCTGCTCTATTTTGGGCGAGGTCATCTTCTTCCTCGAAGCCCCGCCATAGCTGGGGGTTGGGAAACGAAGTTGAAGATCGCACTGCTGCTATTTATCAGCTCTGCACGAGAGCTTCCACAGGACTGTGTTGTTGGGTTTGGGCGCTGCCATTCTCCACTTGTCAGTCATATTTCCTGTTCCTCTTCTCGAGGAACTGTGTCTTCTTCGAAGTGCTGGATCGGTTGTCTCCTTCTTCATCAGGACTTCCAGCGCTTCACTTCCGGGCGGGTGCTGAGCTGGCGCTGTTATCATTAGGGTTGCTGGTTCAGATTGGCACGTTCTGACAGCTGTGGGGTTACTGCTGCTATGGCAGCCATATACTTCGTTGAACACTTGTTTCTGGTTGTTCGGGGTTGTTGTAAATGCGGTTGTGATTCTTGGAACAAGTACTCTGGATTGATTGGAGGAGGATGAGGGATTGCAGAAGTGAAATTTGTTTTCTGTGTGTGTTTTGAGCTTCCGCTGTGCATATCTTCTCTCCGGTTTTGTGTGGATTTGCCTCCTTCGAGTCTACTCTGCAATTGCATGCGTGTATGGGAACGTGTGAATTCGTTGTGGATTGAAGTTCGATCGGGTACATGACAGTTGGTATCGGAGCTGCGACCGTGTGCAACCTGCGAGCAATTGAGTGGCAACCTCTTTTCTCAGCGGCGGTTGGAGTAGGGACTTGTTGTCCGCTTTCTTCAACGGAGGTCGTTGGTGAGAGGTGGTGGAAGGTAGTGTGCGAGGGGAGAATTACTGCTATCAAAACAAAAAAAAGAAAGAAAAAAAAAGATGCGGAGTGGTGGAACGTTCCTTGGCAGTTTCAGCCGGCGAGAGTGGAGTTGAACGAGGCATCAACCCAAAGTGGACTGGTTGACCTGAGGGCCTTGTGACCCTCAAGTTACAGCTGTTGCCTGTTGATGGTGTGTTCGACTGTCTGGGCTGCTGCTGTGGTTACTTCAACGAGTTACTTGATTGGAAGACTGTGGGAATACATGCCCAGTTGGGCAATGTATGTATAGCCAAGGATCCACAATGTGATAAAAAGGACTGAATGAAAAATGCGGTGTTATTGGAATCTCGACAAGCAATGTACATCCTGATACATACAAAATGGCACCTTGTAGCGCAGTGGAAGACTTAGATATAAGCCTTGACCTGACCGGGACTGACCTCTCTCACGTAGTACCAGACAGCGTAGTGGAATACTAGAATACCAAGGACTAGCCCAATCAATGTCGCAATCCAGACCAAACATACATCATCCTCATCATAAGGTGTGAAGGGGCCTGGCGCTACACACAGGAAGAATGCGCCAGGTCCAGACCATACACAGACGAAGAGGAGGGGATCAGATGAAGAAGAGGGGGAAGACAAGAATGTCGTCAACACCAAGTCTTCGGTACAAGTCCCAGATAATCCCTTGTCAAATGTTTGAAGCCCAATGTCGAGTCTGGATCCAAATGTCACCAATCCCTCTCTCTCGTAGTTTGTTGATGCAATGAAGTCAGGTAGCGAGAGGGTGAGGGGGAGATGGTGAATTGAGAAGAGGAAGAAGAAGAACTCTCTCTCTCTCTCTCTCTCTCTCTCTCTCTCTCTCTCTCTCTCTCTCTCTCT